TTGTCATGAGCCGGGGGTTTGGCGGCGAGACGAATATCAGTCACCAGGCATTGCCGTGCACTGTAATAATTGGATTAGCAAACATCTCTTGCAGGGATTCATGGGCCTTTCTGCCTCTGATACGTATGGCGCATAAGTTCTGCAATTACCAGATTTATTTTGTCCTTGAATTACGCTTTAGAAGGGCCTGTCCCCTTTTCAAGTATCTTACTCCTCAATCATTTTAATGCAAGCTGTGGAATTTGCTAAAATCATCTGTTTTCAAGGCTATATTTTTCCATTGAGAGAATTAGTTTGATTCTTGGCTGCGCGACCTGTTTTAGGGCTCCCTGCCGCCTATCTCTGCTTTATGTAGGTCTTCCTAAAGTGAATCTATGACCAGGCTGGGGACATTCAAGTATTTACATTTTTTTTAACAAGGAAATGTTTCAATAAGATTTAAAACAAGGATGCTGAACTGCTGAGAGAATGACTTAACTTGAATGATTCTGCTGTGAAATTTGAGGTTGAATTGCTCTGCAGTACCTGTAGCTACAGAGGTCAGAGAGGGCTACATTTCTCTCAGCAACAGAGGGTAAAGGAGAGCACTATTGTGACGGGAGCAACTTTTGGGGGATGGGGGGACCCCTGTATCATCTCCCCAAATCATTATGTTTAACCCACCCTGTGCCTGTTTAAGGGTACAGGGTGTACATGTGAATGTCCCAGTATTGTGCATTTGTGTGTTGTCCTTTCTCTAGGCCACATGTCCATTGTTTGTTTGCCATGTGCTCCCCCCCATTGTGCTGTGTCTTCCTGTCCAGCAAACTATTATGGGATGTACTGTTTGTGTATTGGTGTGGGGGTTGGTCAATGTCCTTTGCCGCATGGCTGCATCCCATTGTTCTGTGTCTTGCTTGGATGGGAGGGGTGATGAGGTGTTTCCTGCCTATACTGTAGTCCTTCCCACTGATAGGGTGGGCTGATGATGTGTTTCCTGTCCCTGGTTGTCTTTCCCCCCTGCCCTCTGTATAAAACATGTTGTTTGTGTACAATAAAAGTTGTTGGCTTCCTGTTTTAGGAAGAGCTGGGTGCTGTCTATTTTCCTGAGGGATTTCAAGGGTGTGGTCCGTGGATGGTGTTCGGACAGGGGAAGCTGCAGTATAACGGAATATACCCAAGTGCGGTCGGGTACCGGTTCCGTTACAACTATGCATGTGTCAGATGACCAGAAAAAAAAACCCCCAAACAACTCTAGCTGCCAGATTTACCCTACCACCGGCGTTGTCCCACGAAGGCTCATTGTTCTGTGATCCACTCACAGGAGACATTTCATAGAGTTCCTGTGATGGTTATGGACACTCATCGTTGGGGCTGACATCATGTGGTTCTGCACAATGATTCAGAGAATGGCAATGCCATCAGCATTGGTAAGCTCTGCCCTACGCGTTACGTCTGTTGACTTTCAAAGGGGATCCATTGCCATCAGCATATCAACAGCCCTTTCTTGAGGACCTCTCAGTGCTAGAGAAGAGATGAAGAGGAGTGAGGAACCTACACTTCCCATGACTAGCCAGAAGACATCTAAAGCAAAGCAAGATGGGCTTGGATGTAACAGTATAGCTTCCAAAAAATATAAAAGTGTCATTGATGCCTACATTGTAATATCATTTCTTTTTTAAAAAAATGTATTATCAATTTTATATCTATTTGTGGGGAGAAAAAAATAGGCTCACAAGTAATTTGTATTTATTACATCCCGAAAACACTTGGCCAAACAGCAAATTCAGCAGACAAAGTCTTTGCAAATATTCTAATATGGGGTGAACATCCATATCCCAAACTCCTTTCAATTAAGACCACATGGCCAACATCTTGACATGGATCATGTGACCAATCTGTAGGCAGGTGCAGTTACCCATTTTGCAACTAGGTGGCTCTGTACCAGAATAATGTCTGGTTATAGCAGACAGTGTCATCAGGTGCTAGGTACCTTTTAGTGCAGTGATGTCATGGAGGAGTCAGCACCCATATATAAGTCAGGTAGGGAGGAGCACACACACTTAGTGTATGGGAGCCAAACACCCCACACCTATGTGGATGTAACCAGCACATGGATCATGTCACCAGCCTGTAGGTGGATGCAGTTAGCCATTTTGCTACTAGGTGGTTCAGTATCAGAGTAGTGTCTGGTTCCAGCAGATACACTATACTGGCAAAAGTATTGGGGCGCCTGTCTTTACACGCACCTGAAATTTAATGGCATCCCAGTCTTAGTCTGTAGGGTTCAATATTGAGTTGGCCCCGCCCTTTGCAGCTATAACAGCTTCAACTCTTCTGGGAAAGGCCGTCCACAAGATACCATACCCCATACTAACTTCCTGATCACCGCCATACCCCATACCAATGTCCTGATCACCACCATACCAGCATCCTGATCATCGCCATACCCCATACCAATGTCCTGATCACCGCCATACCCCATACCAGCATCCTGATCACCGCCATACCCCATACCAATGTCCTGATCACCACCATACCAGCATCCTGATCACCGCCATACCCCATACCAATGTCCTGATCACCGCCATATCCCATACCAATGTCCTGATCACCCCATACCAGCGTCCTGATCATACCAATGTCCTGATACCCCATACCAGCGTCCTGATCACCGCCATACCCCATACCAGCGTCCTGATTCACCGCCATACCCCATACCAGCGTCCTGATCACCCCATACCCCATACCAGCGTTCTGATCACCGCCATACCCCATACCAGCGTCCTGATCACCCCCATACCAGCATCCTGATCACCGCCATATCCCATACCAATGTCCTGATCACCACCATACCAGCATCCTGATCACCGCCATACCCCATACCAGCGTCCTGATCACCGCCATACCCCATACCAGTGTCCTGATCACATCCATACCCCATACCAGAGTCCTGATCACCGCCATACCCCATACCAGTGTCCTGATCACCCCCGCCATGCCCCCATACCAGTGTCCCAATCACCGCCATATCCCATATACCAGTGTCCTGATCACCTCCATACCCCATACCAGCGTCCTGATCACCGCCATACCCCATACCAGTGTCCTGATAGCCACCATACTGGCATCCTGATCACCGCCATATCCCATACCAATGTCCTGATCACCACCATCACCACCATACCAGCATCCTGATCACCGCCATACCCCATACCAGCGTCCTGATCACCACCATACCCCATACCAGCGTCCTGATCACCACCATACCCCATACCAGCGTCCTGATCACCACCATACCCCATACCAGCGTCCTGATCACCACCATACCCCATACCAGCGTCCTGATCACCTCCATACCCCATACCAGCATCCTGATCACCCTCATACCCCATACCAGCGTGTCCTGATCACCACCATACCCCATACCAGTGTCCTGATCACCGCCATACCCCATACCAGAGTCCTGATCACCACCATACCCCATATCAGCGTCCTGATCACCTCCATATCCCATACCAATGTCCTGATCACCACCATACCAGCGTCCTGATCACCGCCATACCCCATACCAGTGTCCTGATCACCGCCATACCCCATACCAGCATCCTGATCACCCCCATACCCCATACCATCGTCCTGATCACCCCCATACCCCATACCAGAGTTCTGATCACCACCATACCCCTGATCACCCCATACCAGCATCCTGATCACCTCCCCCATACCAGCATCCTGATCACCCCCATACCCCATACCAGCATCCTGATCACCCCCATACCCCATACCAGCGTCCTGATCACCTCCATACCCCATACCAGCATCCTGATCACCCCCATACCCCATACCAGCGTCCTGATCACCATCATACCCCATACCAGCGTCCTGATCACCGCCATACCCCATACCAGAGTCCTGATCACCACCATACCCCATACCAGCGTCCTGATCACCACCATACCCCATACCAGCATCCTGATCACCCCATACCCCATACCAGAGTCCTGATCACCTCCATACCCCATACCAACACCCTGATCACCGCATACCCCATACCAGCCAGCCTAATCACCGCCATACCCCATACCAACACCCTGATCACCGCCATACCCCATACCAGCATCCTGATCACCACCATACCCCATACCAGCATCCTGATCACCACCATACCCCATACCAGCGTCCTGATCACCCCATACCCCATACCAGCGTCCTGATTACCGCCATACCCCATACCAACACCCTGATCACCGCCATACCCCACACCAGCGTCCTGATCACCTCCATACCCCATACCAGCGTCCTGAATACCGCCATACCCCATACCAGCATCTGTCTTTTTAGGGTCTCAAATGATCAATTTTCTCCTGATCACCGCCATACCCCATACCAGTGTCCTGATCAGCCACCATACCATCCTGATCACCGCCATACCCCATACCAGCATCCTGATCACCACCATACCCCATACCAGCGTCCTGATCACCACCCCATACCCCATACCAGCGTCCTGATCACCACCATACCCCATACCAGCGTCCTGATCACCACCATACCCCATACCAGCATCCTGATCACCACCATACCCCATACCAGCGTCCTGATCACCACCATACCCCATACCAGCGTCCTGATCACCCCCATACCCCATACCAGCGTCCTGATCACCTCCATACCCCATACCAGCGTCCTGATCACCCCCATACCCCATACCAGCGTCCTGATCACCACCATACCCCATACCAGCGTCCTGATCACCACCATACCCCATACCAGCGTCCTGATCACCCCATACCCCATACCAGCGTCCTGATCACCACCATACCCCATACCAATGCATCCTGATCACCACCATATACCAGCGTCCTGATCACCGCCATACCCCATACCAGCATCCTGATCACCCCCATACCCCATACCAGCGCCCTGATCACTCTCATACCCCATACCAGCATCCTGATCACCCCCATACCCCATACCAGCGTCCTGATCACCATCCATACCCCCATACCAGCGTCCTGATCACCGCCATACCCCATACCAGCGTCCTGATCACCACCATACCCCATACCAGCGTCCTGATCACCGCCATACCCCATACCAGCATCCTGATCACCCCCATACCCCATACCAGAGTCCTGATCACCTCCATACCCCATACCAGCACCCTGATCACCCCATACCATACCCCAAACCAGCGTCCTAATCACCGCCATACCCCATACCAACACCCTGATTACCGCCATACCCCATACCAGCATCCTGATCACCACCGTACCCCATACCAGCATCCTGATCACCACCATACCCCATACCAGCGTCCTGATCACCGCCATACCCCCATACCAGCGTCCTGATCACCCCCATACCCCATACCAGCGTCCTGATCACCGCCATACCCCATACCAGCGTCCTGATCACCACCATACCCATACCAGCGTCCTGATCACCTCCATACCCCATACCAGAGTCCTGATCACCCCCATACCCCATACCAGCATCCTGATCACCACCATACCCCATACCAGCATCCTGATCACCGCCATACCCATACCCCATACCAGCGTCCTGATCACCACCATACCCCATACCAACACCCTGATCACCGCCATACCCCATACCAGCGTCCTGATCACCTCCATACCCCATACCAGCGTCCTGATCACCACCATACCCCATACCAGCGTCCTGATCACCTCCATACCCCATACCAGCGTCCTGATCACCACCATACCCCATACCAACACCTGATCACCACCATACCCCATACCAACACCCTGATACCGCCATACCCCATACCAGCGTCCTGATCACCCCCATACCCCATACCAGCATCTGTCTTTTTAGGGTCTCAAATGATCAATTTTCAGATATACGTCCCATAGACTCTATAGCTTTCACGCAGACTAAATTTATACTGTTTTGGATTATTATTAGCCCAAAAATGTGGCAGAATACATTTTGGCCTAAATGTATGAAGAAACGTTACTTATTTGCAAAATTTTAAAACGAAAACTAACAAAAAATAGATTTTTCTTCAAAATTTTTGGTCTTTTTTTATTTATATAGCAAACAATTTACAACCCAGCAGTGTTCAAATACCACCAAAAGAAAGCTCTATCTCTGCAGAAAAAAAAAAAATACAAATTTCATATGGGTACAGTGCCCTGATGATCAGTGTAACCACATCATTGATTGGTTCTTTACCAGACTGGCCCTTTACCCACCAGGTAAAGGGCCAATCAGAGCCACTTTTACCATGTGATCCGATGTGTCCAATAACAGCTGATCACAGTGTAAAAAAAAAATGGCGGTTGTTGGCAGTCCTCCCCTCACGCACTGTCAGGAAAGTCGGTAAGAAGCATTTCTCAGGGGGACATCTACACTGATCATCAGTGCCCTGATCATCAGTGTAGCGCCATCAGTGCGGGCAATAGTGCCCATTAGTGCCCATCTGTGCTGGCTTTCAGTGCTCATCAGTGCTGGCTTTCATTACCTATCAGTGTTGGCTATCAGTGCCTCCTCGGTGCTGGCTGTCAGTGCCCATCAGTGCCACCTATCAATGCCCATCGGTATCGCCCATCAGTGCTGCCTATCAATGCCCATCAGTGCCGCCTATCAGTGCCCATCAGTGCCACATATCAGTGCAGCCTTATCAGTGCCCATCAGTGCAGCCTATCAGTGCCCATCATTGCCACCTATCAGTGCCCATCAGTGCCACATATTGGTGTAGCCTCATCAGTACCCATCAGTGCCGCCTATCAGTGCCTTTCATTGCCACCTATCAGTGCCCATCAGTGCCACATATCGGTGCATCCTCATCAGTGCCCATCAGTGCTGCCTATCAGTGCCCATCATTGCCACCTATCAGTGCCACATATCGGTGCAGCCTCATCAGTGCCCATCAGTACCGCCTATTAGTGCCCATCATTGCCACCTATCAGTGCTCATCATTGCCACCTATTAGTGCCCATCATTGCCACCTATTAGTGCCCTTCAGTGCCACATATCGGTGCAGCCTCATCAGTGCCCATCAGTGCCGCCTATCAATGCCCATCGGTATCACCTATCAGTGCTGCCTATCAATGCCCATCAGTGCCGCCTATCAGTGCCCATCATTGCCACCTATTAGTGCCCATCATTGCCACCTATCAGTGCCCATCAGTGCCACATATCGGTGCAGCCTCATCAGTGCCCATCAGTGCCACCTATTAGTTGCCATCATTGCCACCTATCAGTGCCCATCAGTGGGACATATCGGTGCAGCCTCATCAGTGCCCATCAGTGCCGCCTATTAGTGCCCATCATTGCCACCTATCAGTGCCCATCAGTGCCACATATCGGTGCATCCTCATCAGTGCTGCCTATCAGTGCCCATCATTGCCACCTATTAGTGCCCATCAGTGGGACATATCGGTGCATCCTCATCAGTGCCCATCAGTGCCACCTATCAGTGCCCACCAGTGCCATCTATCAGTGCCCATCAGTGCCACCTATCAGTGCCACATGCCATCTATCAGTGCCCATCAGTGCCACATGCCTCATCCTCAGCAGCGCACTTCAGTGAAAGAGAAAAATCACTTATTTACAAAACTTTATATCAGAAACTAAAAAAAATGTTTTTTTTCAAAATTGTTGGTTTTTTTTTTTTTTGTTTGTTTAGCAAAAAATAAAAAATTTCCTCGGTAGTGAATAAATGCCACCAAAAGAAAGCTTTTTCTGTCTCAAAAAAAATGATAAAAATGTCATATGGGTTGCATGACCGCGCAATTGTCATTCAACGTGTGACAGCGCTGAAAGCTGAGCGCTGGCCTGGGCAGGAATGGGGGGGGGGGGGGAGGGATGAAAGTGTCCGGACGTGAAGTGGTTAAACCGAGCGCACTTTCCTGACTTTTCCACTTGTTTCTGAGAAAGGCTTCGCCGCGCTCTGCACCTTCCCAGCAATAGTCTCTATTTATGTTTAGAAATCTATAGTAATCTTCCCCTCCTCCGCTGCCCATTCCCACACACTTACCCCCGGCCTCCTCTCCCGTCGTTGTCAGTCATTAGGTGCCCGTCTAGGTAATGGATTAATAATTGCTACACGGTACGCTGAAACCACTCAGAGGACTGAAATAAAGAAGCGTCCCAACCTTGGTGGGGATTGATCTGTGAACATATATTACTTTAAAGTGAGTTAATAATGGAAGTGTTATTGTGTAATCTATAGCGGCTTTTGTTACCGCCGCTCATTACTACAGGATACGGCTTTACCGAGACGCTAATATCCAGGGATCGCTGAAAGACAAAAAAAAAAATAAATACATTTTCACCTTGAATTTAGTTTTTCTGTATCCTTTGACTATTCATACCGGGAAAAGAAAATGATGTAACAATGTAATGTGAGAGTGATAATAATGCCGGTTCAGTACATTACCATTCCCCGCGCTCCCCCAGCTCTTACATTTCAGCAGAATAGAAGGGGAAGTAAAGAAATAATCGCTGGCATAAAAACATAAAGAGGCGTCAACAGGGGTGGACTGACAACTCATGGGGCCCCCGGGCAACAGGGGATCATGGGGCCTCCCGGGCAATAGGGGATCATGGGGTGCCGGGTAAAATGGGGGTCATGGGGTGCCTCTGGGCAATAGGGGATCATGGGGCCTCCGGGCAATAGGGGATCATGGGGCCCCCGGGCAATAGGGGATCATGGGGGTGCCAGGGGAAAATAGGGGATCATGGGGCCCCTGGGCAATAGGGGATCATGGGGCCCCCGGGCAATAGAGGATCATGGGGCCCCCGGGCAATAGGGGATCATGGGGCCCCCGGGCAATAGGGGATCATGGGGCACACGGGCAATAGGGGATCATGGGGCGCCAGGGCAATAGGGGATCATGGGGCCCCCGGGCAATAGGGGATCATGGGGCCCCCGGCAATAGGGGATCATGGGGCGCCAGGGCAATAGGGGATCATGGGGCGCACCCTGGGCAATAGGGGATCATGGGGCCTCCGGGGCAATAGGGGATCATGGGGCCCCCGGGCAATAGGGATCATGGGGCCCCGGGCAATAGGGGATCATGGGGCCCCCGGGCAATAGGGGATCATGGGGCGCACGGGCAATAGGGGATCATGGGGTGCCCCCGGGCAATAGGGGATCATGGGGCCCCCGGCAATAGGGGATCATGGGGCCCCTGGGCAATAGGGGATCATGGGGCCCCCGGGCAATAGGAGATTATGGGACGCCCGGGCAATAGGGGATCATGGGGTGCCGGGGAAAATGGGGGTCATGGGGCCTCTGGGCAATAGGGGATCATGGGGCCCGTGTCCTTGCCCACACTCAGAAAAGCCTATGAAAAAGGTACCAGAGGCATCTCATGGGGTCCCCTACTGACCCCGGGCCCTCGGGCAGTGGCGGCTGCATTCGTTTTCTTCTCCACCCTCTGTTATCTCCCGGTGATCTGGCCAGTAACACCCCCACATTACCATTCCCCGCGCTCCCCCAGCTTTTACATTTTAATCAGAATAGAAGGAGAAGTGGAGAAATAATCGCTGGCATAAAAACATAAAGAGGCGTTAACTGGGGCGGACTGACAACTCACGGGGCCCCCGGGCAATAGGGGATCATGGGGCCCCCGGGCAATAGGGGATCATGGGGTGCCGGGGAAAATGGGGGTCATGGGGCCTCTGGGCAATAGGGGATCATGCGGCCCCCGGGCAATAGGGGATCATGGGGCCCCCGGGCAATAGGGATCATGGGGCCCCCTTTGGGCAATAGGGGATCATGGGGTGCCCCCTCTGGGCAATAGGGGATCATGGGGTGCCGTGGCCCACACTCAAAAAACCTATGAAAAAGGTGGGGGGGGTCATGGGGCCCTCGGGGCAATAGGGGATCATGCGGCCCCCATTTCATCAGAATAGGCAAAGTAGGGGATCATGGGGCCCCCCCCGGGCAATAGGGGATCATAGGGCGCCCCGGGCAATAGGGGATCATGGGGCCTCTGGGCAATAGGGGATCATGCGGCCCCCGGGCAATAGGGGATCATGGGGCCCCCGGGCAATAGGGGATCATGGGCGCCCAGGCAATAGGGGATTATGGGGCCCCCGGGCAATAGGGGATCAATGGGGCCCCGGGCAATCATCATGGGGCCCCCGGGCAATTCATGGGCAATAAGAGATCATGGGGCGCCCGGGCAATAGGGGATCATGGGGCCCTTGGGCAATAGGGGATCATGGGGTGCAGGGGAAAATGGGGGTCATGGGGCCTCTGGGCAATAGGGGATCATGGGGTCCGTGTCCTTGCCCACACTCAAAAAACCTATGAAAAAGGTACCAGAGGCATCTCATGGGGTCCCCTACTGACCCCGAGCCCTCGGGCAGTGGCGGCTGCATTCGTTTTCTTCCCCCCCCCTCTGTTATCTCCTCGGTGATCTGGCCAGTAACACCCCCACATTACCATTCCCCGCGCTCCCCCCAGCTTTTACATTTCATCAGAATAGAAGCAGAAGTGGAGAAATAATCGCTGTCATAAAAACATAAAGAGACGTTAACTGGGGCGGACTGACAACTCACGGGACCCCCGGGCAATAGGGGATCATGGGGCCCCCGGGCAATAGGGGATCATGGGGTGCCGGGGAAAATGGGGGTCATGGGGCCTCTGGGCAATAGGGGATCATGCGGCCCCCGGGCAATAGGGGATCATGGGGCCCCCGGGCAATAGGGGATCATAGGGC